GCTGCTAATAAAGAAAAGAAAGAAATTGAACTTTATTGATCTCACAACGGAGAAATGACCTCTGCATTTAACCCATCCCCTTGGGGAGGAGTGGGCTGCCATTGTGCAGGGTCTTACTAAGAGACCCAGAGGGCCGACTGTAGGGATCGAACTTGCGACCTACTCAGAGCACAACCGCACTTCTCTAATCACTAGGCCACAACTCCCCCAACAGATAATAAGGGCTTGTCTGATGGTAGCGGTGTGATGAAGTGAGGTAACTTTCCAAAGGCTATATGGCTCAAAAACCACAAAGTGCTTTGGCATAAAAAATATCCCAAAAAAATGAAAACTCAGAAAATATAACAGAAGGGTGTAAAGTTAAAAGCAGCTCACAACAAAAAATTAAAAACAAAAAAATCTGAATAACTAAGTGTTTTGCTGATTCAACAGAATTATGAGGTAAAATCAACTAATTTTACAACCTGGGGTCCATTGCTGTAAATGATTTCACTCCTGTTGTTTTAGAATATGTTCATGGTTCCATTCCAAGCCTTTCAAGTTTGCAGCTTGACCACAAGGCTCTAACAGTGAAGCCTTTGATTTTTAAAATGAATTCTCAAGTAATTAGTCGCCAATTGTAATGAGGCCAAACCGAAGAGATTTGATGTGTCTATTGTGTGTTAAACCTTGCAGCTGCCCACTGTAATGACTGAACAAGGTCAAGATCTTTCTTTCTCAAACACATTAAAAGGCAATTACAATAGTCATTGAAAATGAAATAAAAGTGTTTAAATCTATCTCTTATTCAGCTTCTGACACCAAAGATCTAAGGAAGGTAAACAGGAGCAGCAAATCCTACAAAATCAACAGCTCAATGCAATGGACTGGGTTTCTTTAAATAGAAAAGCTTTAACCGATCTGTCTGTGGGATCTGACAGAACTGTCTCTATAAAGTGCCTGGAGATGACTTGTGTAAAATGATTGAAAGAGCAACGCAAAGGTTTTGAGGTTTGGTAGGGCCAATACTGTACATCAGGTTGCTAATAGTTTTCAGCTATACAGCTGTCAATATGTCTGTCATATGAGGCGAAAAGACATATGAAAGACACATGGGGTATAAAAAGTGTCCAGGACTGCTAAATGAACATGAGTAAAGTATAATACCAGAGTGGCGGGCTCTTTCTTTCTTTTTTTATTTTTTTTTTATTTCTTTGAGCAACAATACAAGGAAGATTTACATTGAGATTTTAAGACATATTAGTAGCGCTCAAAAAGAGTAGGTAGAAGTTCAAGAACTTGTAAGAACCTACCCCCAATAAGAATATACATGTGACGTAACATATAGTATAAGGTCTTTGCTAAAAAGGAGGCATTACAAATCAAATCGCAGTTAAACGAATACAGAGTGTGTTATATTGAAAGCAGTTGTACAGAAAAAATAAGATATCTAGTAGTACATACTGAAATGTTCCAAAATATCACAGTTAAATCTTTGAGTCACATGCAAATTTCTTAAACATAACATATTTATACTTGCTTTTAAATTTTCTTAGTGTGGTACCGGTACTCCTTTTTATTTCCATATCTAACCCATTCCGCAACAGAATTCCTACATGGTTGAGCCCCAGACTTTTAAGTGTGGTGCGAACATCACATAATCTCAAAACAAATTCTCCTCTCAAATTATAAATCTCTCCTCTACTGGTAAAAATGTTTTTACCAGTAGAGAAGAAAAGTAGTAATTTTCAGAAACCCAAATCTGGTCACCATAGATATGCTAGCATTGCTATCAAGAGCTTAGCGACAGAATCATACTTACAGCTTGTGTTTGCGATGGCCTTACGGTGAGAACAGCCCCTCGTTTCAGTGAAAGAAGTTTAGCAAATCCTGCCGTCAACTGCCCAAGATTTTGAAAGCTGTCTTCGGTAAAATGCATAGAGCAAATGCACAGCTGAGCATCAGACTTTGCAGGGGTCTACTGATAGACGAAAATAATCCATGCCTGTCGTGGATCCTTGGGAAGACTGTGAAAGTCTTTCTCCGTGCAGCCTGGAACACTGCATTAAGTGTATGTCAATTTCGAGGCGTGACAAAAGTACAGGCAAGAACCAAATAAGGTGACATCCCCGAATTTACGTCAATTCGGTGCTTCGTTTGAAGTCGCCGGTTTTATGGTGGTTTAGAATTGTGAGCTTTGCAGAGAAAGGAGGTGTCGATGGGGTTCGAACTTCTCTGTACGTCCATTTCACCCACTGAACTATCGTTATTTACTTATGGCAATGTAAACTTGGTTTGCGTTCTATAACCCCTTTAAAACATGGTGTGTGAGATATGAAAAAAAAATTCTTCTTTAACCCTATTTTACTTTTAAAGTATATAAATGAAATACCTTCTAGTTTTTATAAATGTGTATCATGTCATCTAATGGATTATTTGTTACACCCCTATTCTTAAATGTGTCTTTAATTAGCACTAATGTTACATTGTTTTAATATCCTGATTATCAAACTAGATTAACTTTAAATTCAGTTTTATGTACATATGATCAATTTAAGGAAATTTCATTTCATCCCCATCCTACATAGATCACTGCCTCTTCTCGATTTGCTCCATCTGGATCGAGCTTTTCCTTCCTATAAGAATGTTCATTTCATGATAATGGCCATTTTATCTGTCCTGTGTATATGTCGCATCATGACATATATATGTTTAGTATCTTAGCTCTGCAGAAACAAGCAAGTTTCCTGACAGACTATTCAGTTTCATGATCTGCTGAAGAATTAGTTAGCCCTGACAAAGCATTTGCCATGATCAAGCATGCAAAGAAAGGCTGAGATGCAGTATCTTTTTAGATGCTTACAGAAATGTGGATAATTAGAAGCAGTGTTGATCACTCTTCCATCTTTTTTACCGTTCTGATTATTATCTGTGCAACAAAATAATAAACACTGAGGAAGTGTATGCAAAAACACACACAAATTACAGTGTAAAAGCAGACGCCCTTCTGCAGCAATATTCCATTTAGATTGTGAGTGGTTGTTGTAGACTTGGGTACGAAGTTAGCTGTGGCTAAGAGGGCAACAAAGAGCTGCAGGGTTGGAGCAGTTTATGTTAACTCCACCAATGTACAGCGGTCATTCCTTTCCCTGTCTGATTACAGTAAACTGCACACTATAAAAACTTATCTCTGTTTCAACTGTGTCTGAGCATTAAAGTGTTTGCAGGCAAAATTGTGACAAGACAGGCTGGGGTGTAGAGAAACTTCTCATTACATATTCATTCAAATAGCCTTATTGTTGCTCCTTGAGGTAGGTCTGTGTTACCAATTAGCATCGATTGATGCCCTGCATCCTCCCTAGCAGCATTATGCCCTGTAATGAGATTCCTCTTTCTGAGCAACCATCCGTAATCCCACACCTCAAGCTGTGCTCTCTGGGTCTGCACAGCTGAGTCGCGCTCAAACGTGGATATCGTACATGAAATTCAGTGTTAATGCTGCCAACCTGAATGAGAATCACACCATGGCGCTCAAATGAAATGGATACTACGCCTATTACCGAACATGTTAATCCTCTTAAGAAGTTAAAAGAGGTCTTGATGACATGAGGGAGAGGCAGGAGTGCAGAGCACTGTGGAAACGAGCAGGAACGGGTCAGAGAAATTAGGTTTGTCCTAAACAATAGCACGCCTGCTGCCACGTTTCTTCAGTCATTAGCCTCTGATTCTCTCAGAGGATTTAGTAGACAAAGAGGAACAGCACAAGGTGGCCTTTAAAAGGCTAATATATTTGTGATCCACGAATCCTGAAGATATTAAAAGCATGATAATGGCATAATGTCTGTAACTGTATGAAGGCTTTCACTGTCTGTAGCTGTAAACATATAACTAACTTTATCTGTGGCCAGTTGTTGGCAAGCCAGTCAGATCACTGGAAACTTGAGTTATGTCTCTGAAAGTAAACCAGTAAATTGAGGTATAAATACCCTTCATGATGTTTTTTGAGACTCTTTCAAGCATCTTTTCCTGGGTATACTGGAAGCTATTTTTAATGCCCTCTACTTAAAGAGGGCATTGGGCCCTTGATTTTACGTTATTACATCATGTTCTACTCATCCATTTTGGTTTTGTGTCATTTGGAGCTGTTCTGATATTCCGATAGGTTATATCCTATGGACAACGACTTGAAGGCACAAACTAAACTGTTCATAATTTATCATTTATGGTACGCCAGCATTCATAACATGTAGGCGAATCACAGTCCCCCAGTCCCCAAGACATATTTATATTTTTTTAAACAAAGAGGCACGTGTACGTCGTCAGTCCCGCGTCGGGTACCGTTCATTCATCCTGTCCGCTGAACTGCTGCTAGTTTTACTCACATGCCTGGAAGATGTCTAGTCCTACTACCACAGATGATCTCGCTCTCGAAATTGAATTGAACGATTCAGATTAGCTAGCCGAATGAATAGAAGGGGTAGAGTGTAGCCGCCTGTGACCCGGGCTGCCTGTTACGACTGCACTAATCTGGAATTATTTTGAAATAAGAGTCAATCGAAAGTGAAAATGAAGCCTTATCAAATATATTTTCTTTATATTAAAACTTATTATAATAAGTTATAATAAAGTTATAATAAAGAGAATATGTTGAGGTCACCTAGCAATAAGCAATGATAGATCTCAGAGAAAAATGATCTACGGATCTAACTCTGTCGTTTTAACAGAACAAGTCAACATGTCAGAGCAGCTGAATCTAAGAGAGACTGCCAAAATCAAGCAGCCTAATTAACAGAAGATTCCCCAGGCTAATATGTTTGGATCATCTCTATCCCTCTGCGGCTGCTCTTAAAAGCTTTTTTTAAAATAGCCTCATGAGCCATTTTGAATCTTATTGGAGGCAAATCTAACTTTGATGATGAGAGATACTTAAGGAGGTTAGGGCAAGAGTTAACCAAAATCTACAGCGAAATCTCCTGATACTGCATCAGACATGAAAACAACAGGTAATGCAAATGGCTCACCTGTCTTTGCCTGTCTCCTTCTTGAACACCATGTCACAGTAGTTCATCCTGTCCTCTGTGGTGACGTAGATACGAGCATGGGGATAGTTCTCAGATGCCTGTCGCAACATGTTGTAAACAATGCCCTTTCCGTCCTTCCTCATGTTCCGCAGCGGCCCCCACACGACGTAGACGGTGTCATTGCCCTGGCCAAAGAAGTGCTGTGGCTTCTGCAGCAGGAGGGGCACGCTGGTGTGAGAGACGACTCTCAGGGTGGTTCGTCTTCCGACGTCATTTTCAAATCCCTGCGTGGGAGCATTGTTCATGCGCCAGATGCAAGGAGAGCGGTCGATCTGTGCGCCTGCAGCCTGGCCCAACATCTGGCCGGAGCTGGACACAATGCTGCACAGTTCACAGTTCAGCTTCAGGGGCTAAAGAACAAAATGAGAGAATATTGTTTTGTTTTTAAGAGATTAAAGAAAAGCGTCAGCTATATAGAAGCAGCATCAACATATGATTTAAAAAATGAAATGGTGATAAATTTATATACCGGTATATTTATTTTACAGCAAAACAAGTCAACAGTTCAGGTATTGAGAATTGTTTGAGGTTTGACTGAAAGAAACCACAAAAGAGAAATATTTCAATGAGATTTGATGGAAGAAATCAACACGAAATGATGAAAAATTCTCAGGTAGAAGAATAATGGACATCTAGAGACAATGACAGCTCTGCCTATAGTCAAATATTCAATGCTGTGTGCAGAAAAACGTATTTTTCCAACCTCAAATATAGCTAAAAAACTTAGCAAGGATCAAACTGATGGTGAAGCTGCAGAAATCTTTCAAATTAATAATGTTGCCAAGCTCCACCCAATCAGTAAATTTGATTCTCCCAAACACTTCAATGGCTACAGGTGAATAAGGGTTGGAGTGGAGATACTTGGAGACTGTGGAACCAATTGGGCAGAGCTGAACTGCTTTACCTCCCCCAAACAACTTCAACTCTGCCCAAAACATAAAAGTTTAATTTAATATAATTAGGTTTTGAAAGCCAAAACCTGGCTTTAATAGCATAACTAGAGCATTTGATGTTTGGGGGTAGAGCGACCTAATCGAATCTTACAGTATGGTTGACAGAGGGTGTACAAAATGAGTTATAATAACCAGTAAGTTAGCATCTATATGTTCTTGGTATCTGACCATAGAAGTTTACTAGCAAGCTAGTGATCAGTACATGGCAATAGTCCCATTGATTGGGTTGAAATTAGAACATAAAGTGGTTGGCCAGGGTTAAAGCTGCTTCATCTGTGCCCATGGCTCTGCAGCCATCATCATTTGGAGAAACTTGACAGTCCTAAACTCAACCTCAAAGATCTACTTTGAGATAAATGACAGCAGAGGATAAGGTTTTAGTTTTTCCACATAACTCTGAACAACTCCCTTTACCTTGAGGAAAATGCTTATACAGAATAGTTAGTATAGTTGCAATTGTGGGAACAATGGGTCCATCAATGAATTTGACCCTATAGATTGAGAACAGGATCTAAGCCAGGGGGCTGCAAACCTTAATATCAGAGAGCCATTTTGCTCTGACCCCACCAAAAGAAAAATTATTTAAAGCCACAATTACAACAGTTTTGAACCAGGTAAAACATTTTATAAAAAGGAAGCACGGATTTTCAAGGGCACATACCATGCTATGGCAGCAGATTTGTTGAAGGTCACAAATCATTTAAGATTTAGAACTTCGTAAGGCATGGAAAATTCAAATTAGGTTTTACAATGACAACCTGTCAGAAAATAAAATACTTTTATTTGCAGGGGTCTGAACATTTTTATTTTTGTTTGTTTTTTGTTTGTTTGTTTTTTTGTTGTTGTTTTTTTAGGTAAAATGTCTGTTGACCATAAAAAGGCACAAAAACTGTGAGGACTAATGTGATGTGTGTGTTATTGTTTTAATAAATCAAGGTAAACTTACCTTTTAGGAGTTGTATATTGTAAGTTAGTTATACCTTAATTCAAGGTTTACAGTTATAATTAAAGAACAAGCACTTTATGACTTCCTTTAGTGTCGTTCTCTGCAGCCTTTGCAGGGCTGTGTAACAGTTCATAAAATGCAGCCCTGGGAAAGGCAGTTAATTAGAACAGAGACCCAAGAGAACCTAAATTTATCACGTTGTGAAATGCTGCTGAGCCTTATCTCTTGGTTTTACAGCTTTAGAACAATGTGCACACATTTTCTATCTCTGAAAAGCTGAAAGTGCAGAAAACTTGCTAAGAATGTTCATCTCTTGAATTCATCCTGACCTTCCTACAGACAAAGAAAGACACAATAGGTTAACAAGGGTAAAAGACTGAAGGCTTGTAAAAGGATCTGGACCATGATGGAATGAACATTTATCGTTTACAAAGAACATTTCAGTTTTAAATACATGGTTTGATTGACTCTTGCAAAGTATTTGTTCTTTAAATAGTGCACGTAAAATATCTGAAGTTTTTCAAAGGACATTTCTCTTATTGACCTAAAGAAATACATTTTATATTAAGCTGAATGAGTTGTTTTACTTGAACACAGCATTAAGGGCTATTTTCCTCCATCTTCATGTGCTTATGTGAACCATGAGAAGAACATAGCTCAACCTCTGCTACAACAAACTCACCACTTAAGTTGTTTACAGGCGGCCCGGTGTGAAAGCTGAGGAAGTAATGTCACAATGTCATCCAGGTCATAGTCATTCCAAAAAGACAGGAAAAAAATCCACTGGACTTTGTTTCGAAGTTTGAAGACGTTTTGCTTCCCATCCAGGAAGCTTTATCAATTCCCTTAAACGAGACATAGACAGGTGTCGGGTCAAAGAACCTGAATGACCCCCATTCCTAAGGGGCGAAACCGTTCATCCAGTTCAATTTGCATGTTTCCTAATTAAAACCAGGCTTTGTTTTTGGTCCACTCTGTAAAGCCTGAAACTCAACGCTATTTCTCCAGTTTTAATTGAAAAATCTTCCTGGATGGGAAGCGAAACGTCTTCAACCTTGGAAACCAAGTCCAGTGGATTGTTTTTTTTTTACTTTTTGGAAATGTTACAATGAAGTTTAGGATTTCATAGCTAAAAAAAAAAAAAAAAGCTAGAAATGTATCCAAGTAAAGAGAGTTTAACCTTCATTTAGCAGATGTCGACAGAAACTTACGTTCCATGAAAGCCTCCCTCTGCCACTGCAGTTCTTAGTTCAGTTGTAGATCAAATCAGCCAGTATTCTTTTTTTTTTTACAACTAGTAGCAGAAAAAGATTAAATAGAGGAAGGGCATTTCTAATACATACCTACGTTTGGCATCAGAAGTTTTTCTTTTAGCCATCATTACAACTATCAAATCTTTTCAATTCCACAGCTGTGCTTCTTTTGTGATTTATAAATGGCCAGATGAAGGTCAGAGATTTCTCTTTTCTGAAGGTTTGTGAAAATGAGGCATCTTAGGGAAATATCTATAGCAACATTATTTTTACTGACGCTGCAAACAACTTCTAATAGCAGAAAAGAAGGTTGTGACATGTTGACATTTCTACAATTTTTAGATTAGTAAAATATAAATTTCTGTTTCTCTGAAGTAAAAAAAGGTTTGATTAAAAGCCGCATTTGTAATTGATACAACAGAAATTGAGACAAGAACAGATGCCATTCAAGCTTGGCTTGGTTCCTTCTTAACAACAGGAAAGGCTACAAGAAAACAGGAGCATAAGAAACACAAATAAACAGTCTGTGCAATGCAGAGAATCTGAATACAAACAAGACTCGAAATTACAAGAATAATAAACATATACCTGTCTATCCTTCCATCCACCATTAAAAGAACAAAATTTAATCACATCTTTAAATATATTTTTAATTTACTTAATTACTGGTGTATCCATTCAGTGTTGGTTGTTGAAATCCCTCATTTGACCTTAGGGCTGTTTTATGAGGTTTCAGATATATAATGAAAGTAACAGTTTGGCAGGATTGCATGGTAAGAGCATTAAAGAAATTAGATTTGGTGGCGTTAATCTGGGATTTACAAGCCTATTTAATTGATGTCTTTCTCTTAAGGACAAACCCAAGTAAAGAAAATGAATAAGAAGCTTGAAAATTATGCTCCAACTGTGGTCATCTAGATCTGAGAAATAGGTTGATATAACATATATGGGTATTTTTGACAATAGAAAAGTGACTAATATTACATTGTTAACAATTTAAGACATAATTTGCTAACAGAGAAAGGAAGTGATATGGATCACAATCCAGAAATTAGGGTCTCTAGTTGTCTGTTAAACATATAAGATCTTATATAATGCAATGTATCCTATATGATATAACTGATGAATGCAAAATATTGAATATATATAAAATGTTAAAATATTTTTCCTAGGGTCAAACAAGAAAACTGATTATATTTAAGAGACATTATGTAAGTTTTTACTGAAATATATCTTGTAAATTGCCATTTTATTTAAGCCTTTATGATTAAAACATGGTTAAATGAGCAGACTGAAACCTCAGACGTTCAGCATTGATGCATCTATAAGCCTGTAGTCTATTTTCCTGAATTGACTTTGATTTCACGTCATGTTTAATGGGTACGACCAAACAAATGAAGTGTTATTTTAGAGATGGATTTTGTGGATGTTCACAAGCAACCGGCATCCAGTCCAACCCACACAACAAAAAGGAAAAAATAAATAACCTTTTCAAGTATGAGCGCAAGATACAAGAACAAGCAGCAGACTGCGGTTTTGGCTACAGGTGGCAGTATCATTAGAAAACTCCATCCATCCATAAATTTTCCGACAAGCTTATCCCTACTGGGGTTGTGAGGGGTGCTAGTGCCTATCTCCAGCTGTCAATGGGCGAGAGGCGGGGTACACCCTGGACAGGTCGCCAGTCCATCGCAGGGCAAAACAGAGACACACAGGACAAAAAAAACATTCAAACACTCACACCTAAGTAGAATTTAGAGAAGCCAATTAACCTAACAGTCATGTTTTTGGACTGTGGAAGGAAGCAAGAGTACCTGGAGAGAACCCACGCATGCACAGGGAGAACATGCAAACTCCATGCAGAAAGACCCCTGGGCTGTTAATGAAACCCAGAACCTTCTTGCTGCAAGGCAGCAGTGCTACCCACTGTGTCACTGAGCAGCCCCATTAGAAAACTCCATAATGCCTATTAACATTATTTTTTTGCAGCTTATTTTTCTGTCTGTGTCAGGATTAGTGGATTTGTTAAGGACCAAAATGCAGAGCTAAGGACGCAGAGATATTTTCTTAAATTTAATGAACAGGTAGAAAATAAAGAAGCCTTAATCCAGAACCAAAATACGTACAAGAAACTCAGGAACCAAAAACCAAGAGAGACTAAGGAGGAATAAACCAAAGGAATGAGGGAAAGAAGAAAA